TCTGGCTCTGAAGCCTGACTGCCTAGGTTCAATTCTCATCATTCTACTACCATTTGTGGAATGTGGAGAATAAGTCACTTAATTTCTCTATACTTCAGTTTCTCCATCTGTAAAAAAGGGAATAGTAATAATAGTGCCCAAATCTCATAGGTTGTTTTAAGAAATAAATTAGATAGTTCATAAAAAGCTATCATACAGCCTGCCTGAAATGTTAGTCACTATTATTATTTTCATCTTGGAGAGAAACACTTGTAGCCTGGAGATTTGGAAATTGATTTGTTATATTTGGGTAGGTTGTAAATTTCCATGAATAAATATTACTAATCCCATCCCACTAGTGAAATGACTCAAGCAAAGGGAGACCAAGTGACTAATTTGAGTATTTCTACTAAATTAAGATGGAATTAAAATCCAACAAACGATCTCCAAAGCTTTCTTCCTTGGGCTTCTCTCAAGGGGATGTTTATTACAAACCTTGGCACTTATAACAATAGCTAATCTATGGACTCTTTGACTGAGTTCAACGTGCTTCACCCACCTTAATGTTCACAGGATTGCTAATCAATATTTACCAAGCACCTATGGGATGTATGGGATGGCTGTCTGGCATTAAAGTGTTTTCTCAACTTTGTAGATAGGGAAACAAAATCAAAAGAAGATAAGGGCTTCAACTGTTACCTCTAAAGCCGCAGGAGAGGTCAATCTTACAAAGAAATGTTGATTCCTCTCACCACATTCTTATAGCCCAGGACTTTCTCTTTAGACCCCACACTATCTCATTGCATTTATATTTAGCAAAGTTTTTTAACACCCTTACCTATTTATCTCATCTGTTTTCCTTGGTCTCCTAATGGTTATACAGGAGAATCACATAGTTCTTGGAATCAAAGTAAACATGAACTTTATTACAAAGCAGGGCTAGGATTTGTTCATAAGGTAGCGTGATGATACATTTCATTTATTTATTGAAGCTATAAGTTGGTGCACAGGATACGAAGATAGTATATACCTTTCATAAGAGTTACTTTTTTTTTTTTTTTGTGAGGAAGACCAGCCTTAAGCTAACATCCATGCCAATCCTCCTCTTCTTGCTGAGGAAGACCGGCCCTGAGCTAACATCTATTGCCAATCCTCCTCCTTCTTTTCCCCTTTTTTCTCCCCAAAGCCCCAGTAGATAGTTGTATGTCATAGTTGCACATCCTTCTAGTTTCTATATGTGGGACGTCTCCTCAGCATGGCCGGACAAGGGGTGCATCCTTGCGCGCCCGGGATCCGAACCCGGGCCGCTAGTAGTGGAGCGTGCACACTTAACCACTAAGCCACGGGGCCGGCCCCAGAGTTACATTTTTTATTCAAAGAAATAGTGACCACGTTTTGAATTCTTAGGAATAAGGAATAACCTTTATTAATACCACCAAAACAAAAACCTTTTAATTAATCCGTCTTCTAATCTTAGTGTTAAGAGGTTTTAAAAAACATTTTTCTTTATAAATCTATTGTGTTCGTTAGCATAGTAGGACATATGTCATTAACTTCTGTAATTATGAAAAGTTATCCTTCTCCCATCTTATCTCCCTGAAAAAGAGTAGCGTTCCATAAACATAAAATAGCCATATCAGTCTTAGCAGAAATGGTTGAAGGTTCATTGGTTGTTTAAATTTTCCTAATCTCTTTTTAAGGGTAAGCTTTTGGGGAATCTCTTTATGCTAAGCATTTTCAACAAACATATCAAAACAATCTACCATACTATGTCCACTTTTAAAAGCTACAAAATCTACCCCTATCCATTAAGCACGTTTACTTTTATGATTCAATTCCCCAGAGTAAGGGCTTGGACCTTACTAGAGTTAAGAGATTGCAAGAGTCAGATGTTATAGTTTGATAATCATTCCACAAATCCACGCCCCATTAAAATAGATCCAACAGAGAATTCTCAGCCCACAAAACCTGTAGACGAGGCAATATGTCTTCTGTGAAATATTCTCCAAGGATGTAGTTTCCTATAAAGATGTTCATCAACATTTGAAAAATATTATTTATTTTTTTTTAAATGCTTACCAGTAGGACTCAAGAAACAGCTGGTCTTCTGATCAACTTCTAGCTAACTGGGAAGATGGAAAGACCCAGTTTAGGTCTTGACTCAGATACTAGCTGAGTGAAGCTGGCAGCTTTCTTAACCTTCTGTACCTTAATTCCCTTCTTTGTAAAATGAGAAGGTATGAGGTGACATCTAAGTTCTTCTCTGAATACATAATTTTGTATATCTTACTTTGTGATAGTGATATCTACAAGCCCTGTGGAGTTCACAAGGACTCTCACACCCACAGTCTCATGTGATCTTCATAACTGATTTTCAGAAGTAGGTGGGAGAGTTATCACTACTTATTTTTCCCAATATTGTGCTGCTTTTGATATCCAGCGGAATTCACCAGAGACAGTCAGATCTCAACCACTATCCAGAAAGAGTTAGTTTTCAGGAGTCACAATGAATATTTTATAAAAAAAAAATTTCTCCCTATTCTAGTTCCTCATCACGAACCCTTCAAAGCCTTACTTAAAGGAAAAATCTTTAAAAAGAAAGAAAAAATGTCATGCTATATGCTTCTGCTGATGCAGTCCCCAACTGAGGGAAATCACGTTGATTTTTAGGTTGAAAATAAAATTTAATTGCCATTTGATGAATATTTTTTGAGTGAGGATGAGTTTCCTTGAGCTATTTGAAATTTTAAAACAGCACTGGGGCTTAGGTAAAATTGGTTTTTATTTTTTATCTTTGGAGCTTATGTTTTCAAAATATTTTTATACAAATTGGAAATGAACAAGTAAAATAATTTACAAAAAGGAGACTCAGTACTAACAAGAAATATTCTAAATCCAGAGTGGAATTCTAGTATCTCTGATGTCTTTTCAGCTCCTTTACTTCAGGAAAACACAAAAACAATTTCTCAGAACTATGTCTAACACTTTATGGTTAATAAAATACAACAACATATGTGATACTATTTCATTGTTGCGTAATCCTGTAAGGTAGATAAGGTTGTACCAATCAAGCTCCCAATTATTCTTCATCTCAGAGGTCAAGGAATTTCCCTAATAATTGAAATCCACAGGTTATCTAAAAGACTCATTTTAGCAATTATATATAACCTATTGCTGACTTCTTTCCTCATCAAAATCACTATGAGAGGTGAGAAATAGAAATATTGCACCATTTACATTTGCTCATTTTACTTCTCTCTCCTTCCCCACTCCCCACACCACTTCTGCAAATGCAAAGAAGCAGGAAAATAGCCAAAAGATGGAGAAAATAGAAGGAGAGACGAGATGCCTCAATAATCTAATCAGGTAATTACCAGTTGGCTGTACAATGTCGTAAATAATTAAGTCTTTATTTGAAACAGAGCATATCACTAAAACTTGATTTTTCCACATTTTGTTAGTCTGAGTTTTCATTCATAACAACAGTTTGTATGGCCATTATAATCCATAATTAAGAATCTGAAACAATGCAAAGTGCAGTGAGACATGCTTTTGTCTTGATGTAGATGTATTACATTCTATTCTTTTTTATTGACATTTATTAATTCACATATAGCATAAGGAAGAATTCTCAAGCAGAATTCTTAACTAACCAGAGTAGCTGCCTCCCTGTCCAGGCAAAAAAGTGAAGTTAATACATATCTAGTATGACGATATTCTATTTATAAAATTTTGTATTCTAATTTTTGGGGATATGTACCTTTTCACAATGCAGGGTCCCAAAGGTTTTCATAGTGCTAAGTCATTTTCTTTAGCGTTTTTCTTTTCCAATTAGAAATACTGTCTTCAAATATGTTTGGAAGTTGAGCTAATTTTAATTTTCCCTTCAAAGCAGAGGAACACTGCATGCCTTCCATTAGTTCATTAAGGCTTCGACCTTTGCAAAAATGCAAGTTATTGAATATATCTAATGAAAAGTAATTTCCATGTTGTACTTAGAATCTAGCAATTTTGTAATGGGTATAATTTTGAATAGAAATGAAACAATCTCTAAGCATGATACTGAGTCAGTTAAGAAGACAGAAAGTATTCTAATGCCAACTGTTATTAAACATACAAAAATGCCTCATTTGTTAATATCTTATAAATTTACAGCTATAGCTTTCAAAAATCAAATTAATTTTTTCCACCTCAAAACAATTCAAAGGCCTTAAATGTCCAAAGTTATGTGACACCAGACATGACCTTTAACTCTGATGTGATGTCATTTCTTCAATCAATGAAAAACCAAGGCAACATTCCTGCCTGTCACCCCAACCTCTCAGCAGCAAGCTTAAAGAATTTGAAAAACAAACCTCTCCTTCACTTCTCTATCCACAGATTTCTCTATCCATACAATTTACGTATGAGTGTCTCCAACAGCAGCTGAGGAAGCGGGCTTTTGATAAACTCATACACATTTTAAAACAAATTAATCAGAAGTTTATAAATATGGTGACTATTCACTTAAATATAAAGCCAAATATGAAAGAGCAGGAGACTTTCACTACTTTTCAACTTTAAACTTTCTAATAATTTCTAAGACCACTTTTTATTTCAATGGAGAAATATGGTTGTTGAGCTATAATTATTTAGAATAAAATCCAAGCATAATCATATGAATTTTATGAATGTTTCACCTTTAACCGAGATCATAGAGTAGCAAAAAGAAAAAAAATCCTCATACTACTTAATCCTCAAAAAAAAAAGAAAACTAAAATGATATAAAACTACTAAAGTGTTTCCACTTCTCAGGCATTATATTTTTTATAAAAAACTATCATAAAAGGAATAACAATCTATTAAATTAAGTATCTTGCAAATGGATTGTACTGTAAGTTTAAAATTACTTGCATTAGAATCTCAAATGCCACCTTTAATACCCTGTGAGAAGGCATTTTCTGAGACATAATCATACGCTAAAACTACCATGTTAATTCAAGGCTGCCACAATACCGAGTAAACTAAAATGTAGAACTTACCTTATTATAAATAAATGGCAAATTGCAGGCACTTTTCAGCTTGCAGCTATCTAGCATAGTTGATTAGAAATAAACAAAACATCTTTCACTCCAGGGAGAGAACTGCATATTCAGACTTGGCTTTCTTTACTGAAATCCCGGCAAGGCAGAGAGGCTCTTCACCTCCAAGGGCTAGTTAACAGCCTCTTTGCAGAGAGCACTTGCTGCTCTGAACTGCAGCGACTTAGAAGGAAAGTAAGAGGAACCCGTGATGTTTAAATACCGTTGCTTCACATTCACAGGATATGACTCAACTCTCTCTCAAACCAGGAGGGGTAGAGTTTCTCCTCACAAAACAGTTAGATTACATAACAAACATCACATTTGGGGTCCTAAAATGTTTACAAACTAAAAATTAAAAATTTCACCTGCTAAATCAAACGTACATTTTCAGTGATTAACCTCTTCCCTGTGGCAGAAACTGCAAATGGAAATGAAAATAACAGCACGGCACCCAGAAAAACTATTCTGCTTGCTCTCTGCAGTGAAGTAATTTAATGTTATTAAATGTGTGTGAACTTGCCAATATCTCCCTGACACAGATATAAAAACAGGCACTCTAAAGTCACTAACATTCTCATCGGTGCAAAAACTGTGTATAGAATAAAACTCTATTTGAACATGCAAGAAGAGGCAATTCTATACAGCACAACAGAATCTCCTTCACTAAGCAGAGAATGGAAATAGATCTTTGTGGTTTGCAATTGCTAATTCCCACAGCAATCCTGTCCTACGCTGTCATCACTTTGTGCTGCTCGCTCTGCCTACCTCTCCAACTCCGAGCCCTCCTGTATCTGTTTCGTGAACATTTCTCAAGGAACACGACTAATGACACAACTCCTCTACTAATGTGGCAATTTTCTGTGCATTCTCCACCACTGGCTATCTCTTAACTCTGAGCTGTATTAAGCTTGATCACACATTGAATTATTATATTTGGACACCTCAGTCAATAAATATTATAGACTGAGATCCTTGGAGAAAAATCTACTACAAAAATTCGACTGCCATCACCATCATCAAGGACAAAAAGATGAAAAAAACACGTCAATAATAGCAAATAGATTGAAACTATCTAGACCAGGACCGTTCAATAGAAATATAAGATGAGCCACATATGTAATGTTAAACAATTTAGTGGTCACGTTACAAAAGTAAAAAGAAATGTAAAATTAATTTTAATGTTTATCCCAATATATCTAAAATATTATCATTTCAATATGTAATCAGTACAAAAATTACTTAAATATTTTACAATTTTTGTACTAGTGTTAGAGATCTGATGTGTATTTTACATCTACAGAACATTTTAATTCGAACTAGCTACATTCCAATGCTCAAGCCATACATGGCTAGTGGCTACTATACTGGACAGCATAAGTCTAGAGTTTGAGGTTCATTCTTAGTCCTCAGTTTGCAGCTCATATGTTCTCTCTTCAAAGAGGTCCTCCCTTATTACCTCACCTGAAACGACCTTCCTCAGTTACATTCCATCTCACGATCCTGTTAATTTCCTTCATAATGCTTCACAGCCTGGACTTTTTTCCTTTATTCATTTGTTCACTTATTTATAGTCTGTGGCCCCTAACAATAATGTAAGAAACCTCAGGGTAGAGGTCTTGTTGTAGTCATTATTTTATCCCTAGCCCTTGGCATGGTGATCAGCACATAGCAGAATTTAATAAAGATTGTTTAATAATTGAATAAATAAAATATAGAATTTATGCTATGGTTTAGCAAATAATAAAATATTAAGAAATGTGTTTTAAGACTAGGTATCTACCATAGTGTAGATATGATCTATCATATGACTGAATTTTTGTCAAATATTTTGAGTAACACTTTCCTGCATTGAAAAATTTTCTTTTTCATAATGTTAATGATCTTCAATCTATAACATGCTTTATTTTCATATACAATATTATATGTAAACAACATACTTGTTTCACTACTCTAGCAAAGATTTGGACAGATACTTATAAGAATACTTTGGTACTTATGACATAAATCTGGATACTATTTGGATGTCTATTTATCTCCTACTCACCAAAACATAAAATATTATCTATAAGACATTTGTAGGGGATATTGATATATTTGCCTGACTAGCCTATGCACCTCCTCCTTCTGGCATCATCATCCTGATTTTTATTTGGCAAATCATCCACTCCTCTCTCCCTCTCAATCCATGTGGTTTTGGTCATGCTGACCTGGCCCCAGAAGTGGGAATGTGACCCAGCGCTGACCAATTGGTGCATATTATCCACAGAGCTACAGTGAAAGGGTCAAGGATGGGCATGTGACCCAAGCTGGTCCAGTGAAAGCCAACTCCTCCACTTTTGCTGTTACTGGGAAAGAGGTGGTTAAGTTTGTAGAATGTAATCCTAGAACTTCTAGTTGATGTATTTGCTATCACACAAGGTCAGCTTGTCTGAAAATGAGGCCAACCAAGAGAAAAACAGTCAAAGATGTGAAAAGCAGATTCTTAATAACACTATTGTAGTTTTTAGACCTGGCCATGCATTAAGTCACACCTGCCCTCTGCTGTAGTGATGGATGTATTAGAATATTCATTGCAGAACTGTTAATAGTGAAAAACTGGAAACTTTGCAATGGGCTATGAACTACAGAAGGGTTAAATAATTAACGAGTTAACCACATTAAGGAATATTATGTAACTATTAAAAAGAACCAGGTTATCTGGATATACTGATATGCAAAGCTCCCTAAAAGATGTTAAATGGAAATAACATGTTGCAGCAAAATACATTATCCTACTGGTGGGTACCTGAATTTATATACACAAATTCATAGAAAAGGACCTGGATAACTGCACACCAACTGTGGACAAGTGGTTATGTCTGTGAAAGAGATCTGAAATAAGAGGGTGATGGGAGACAACGAGATCCAATCATGTTGCTCACTTTATTACCTATTGTATAAATCTTTTAAAATAAAAATGAACTCTTGTATTCTTTAGGTGATTGAAAAGAACATGTTACTCTATAAAACAAAATAATTCGATATTTTATATCTCTATATTTTACTCCATTATTCTCACTCTAAGTGGACTACTCTTCTTTATTATTTTTTTAAAACAGTGTAACAGAAATGAAAGTTCTCTTCTCTGTGCCACTTTCCTCATTCTTTACCAGCCCAAATTTAGGTATTTTCTGATTTTTCAGTCTGGCTGAAGGATATGCCAAGACAGGAACAAAGACAGGACAGAGAGAGAGGAACAGACAGCCAAGCACGTTAGAATCTCCAATGTACCTTCTAACATTGGCCAAGGACTTTGATTTTTTTCTCTCGGCCTCCTGAAGCCTCTTTTACTGACGTCATAAAAATACAGCTTGAATTTCTTCAACTGTTAACATATCAACAGCCAAATGTTTATAATAATATGCTTTATATTAATTTAGTTAGAGTAAATAAACTTGCTTGTTATCAGCTCACTGAAAAACTTCTGGCCTCTGAATTGGGCACAATTGCTTTCCTAATTAACATAAAATCTGAACCTTTTGTTGCTTTTTGGGCTTGCTCTAGTCTTCAAAAATCTCCACATTATCTTGGCATGTTGATACTACCTCATGCTTTTGTATTCCCTTAGATATCCACAGTATTTCCTCCTTAAAAATTACACAGCTAAAGGTGCATAGAGTGTAAGGTGGGAGCTGGAGCTCTTTTGACCTTTAGTATAGCTAAGCAGAATTGGAATTCATACAGTGCTGACGAACTGACGAGTTTATCAAGCCATGAGTACTGCTCTCTTTTATTCTCAAAACCCACTTATCCTAATAACTTAAACCTCCTACAGAGTCTGTTGAATTTCTCCTTCCATTCTTCTTGCCTCCACTTAAAATCTTAACATTATGTCAAATTAGCTTCAGATTTTCTGGAAGAAATAAAATATTACAGATAAAATGGAAGCCTCCAGATGCCACTGCCTATCTCATCTCTTTCCCTTCTCTCCAAAGGTAAACACTCTCCAAGGTTATCTTTTATCATTCTCAGATATCTTTTTATATTTTTATTAGATATGTGTGTATCCAGAAACAAGATATCGATGCATGTTTTAAGCTTTATAAAATGGTATCACACTATATAGATCCTTTATTTTATTTTATTTTATTTTTGCTTAATATTATCTTCTTGAGATTTACATGTAGTTCTACATAGTTTATTCTTTTTAACTGCTATATAGCATTCCAGTCCATGTATCCATTCTGCTGTTGGTGGGCATTTAGATTATTTATAATTTATTGCTATTATTAAACTACTCTAATTCTTGTACATGTGCAAGAATTTCTCTAAAGATGGATACCTAGGAATGGAATTACAGGGTCATAGGACATGCATGCCTTCACCTTTACTAGAAATTGCCAAACCACATCCCAATATAATTAGACTACTTTACAATTCAACCAGCAGTGTATGAGAGTTTTTGTTGCACTAGATTCTTGCAAACAATCTCCACAGTATTGTGATTCCAGACTCTGAAACATCAAGAATCTTGATATTCCAGACTGACATTTTTGCCGTGTAATTGGTTTAGAATTTCAATGTTTTAATTTGGGTTTCCCTGATTACTACTGAAGTTGAACATATTATTATTATTGGCCTTTTCCTACTGGGTTTTTTGTCTTTCCCTTACTCATTTTTGGGAGGTTGTTGTATATTACAGTTTTACTCCTTTGTCAATTATATGAGTTAGAGATATCACCCTTCAACAAGCAGTTTGTTTTATCATTATGATACCTTTTCTGTTTGTTTATTATTTTAAAATTTATGGTTTGTTTTTTTAATTTAAAACTTTGGGTTTTTTTAGTTATTTATATTTCTTGAGTCAAAAATATGGTGAAAATTAAGTGTTGGTTAGTCATTATTCCTAAAACACTCCCAACATTAATGTCAGATTGCATATCTAAAGAGGAACTGAGAAGAATTCCTATTTCCAATGAGTAGTTCAGTTCATCATTTACTGAGCACCTGTTATGAGCTCCATACTGTTAGAGAGTATAAACATGAAGCAGTCCATACAATTAAGAAATGTACAGTCTAACTTAAGAAGAAAACTTGGAAGCAGCCAACAATGGTGATGATGAAATGGAGAAGTACCCATGGGCCAGAGATTGTGCTAACTCATTATTTAATTTAATAGTAGTTTAAATAAGAT